CACCCCACCCTGAGTCCCCGAAGTCCATTATGTCATTCTTATGCCTTTGCACCCTCATAGCATAGCCCCCAACGCAGCACTTGTGAGAACATATACGATATTTGATGTTTGGTTTTCCATTCCTGAGTTACTTCACTTAGAGTAATGACCTCCAGCTCCATTCAAGTTGCTGCAAAAGACATTATTTCGTGCCTTTTAGTGGCGGAATAGTATTCCACGGAAAACACAGACCACTGCTGTGACCACATGTGTGGGTTTTCTTTTTTCCCCCCACACTAACCAATTCTCCAATACCAGCAGAGCATCCTGCAATTCAATTCAATCCTGACACTAACTAGAATGAGTGCAAGCTCCACAGAATAAGGACTCGGTCCCACAAGACTGCTCCCTACTTCAGATGTCAGTTGCAGATCTGAGGATGTCCTACCTATGCTTCTGACCCACCAGCTATAAATCAGAGGTTCCCTCAACCCTCTTCTTGGGTTCAATTATTTGCTAAAATGTCTCACATAACTCAGAGAAACACTTTACTTACATTTACCTGTTTATTATAAAAGGACACTAGTGAACAGCCACATGGAAGAGATGCACAGGGCAAGATATGTGGAAAGTTCCATAGCTTTCATGCCCTCTTAGGGTGCACCGCCTTCCCATATCCTCCACATGTTCACCAACCTGGAAACTCTCTGAACCCTATAGTTACAGCGATCTTTAGGAAGGCTTCATCATATAGGCCTGAGCAATTATTAACTAAATTCTCAGTCCCTCTTCCCTTCCTGAAGGAGCAGGAGAAGGGACTAAAGGTTCTAAGCTTCTCATCATGGCTTCTTTCTGGTAATCAGTCCCCATCCAGGAGCCCACCAAGAGTTGCCACATTCATAAAAAGACATTCCTATCACCCAGGAAATTCAAAAGGATTAGGATCTGTGTCAGGAACCATCTTCAAACACCAAATATAAGGGAGAGAAAAACACTTAGTATCCTTATCGCTCAGAAAATTGCAAATGTTTTAGAGGCTCTGTGCCAGAAACCAGGGCAGAGACCAAATATACATTTCTTTTTATATCACAATATCTAACAGTCTTTTAGAAAAATGCTACATATTGTTCGTTTTTATAACCATGTAAGATAAAGATTAAGAGAAAACATTAAATGTGAACCAAATAATAGCTGACATAAAGAATATGATAGATGGGTTAAGTAGTCATATAAATCCTGTGAAAATAAGAATTTATTATTTGGAAAGACCACACAATCTCAGAAATCACCAGAAAAGAATAAGCTGATACAAAATATAAAAGAAAGGCTAACATATATGGAAGATAGAAACAGAAAGCCAACATCCAGAAGATAGAAGTCTTTATGGGAAAGGGAAATAAAAACAAAGAGGAGGAAATATTTGAAGAAATAATGAAAATAGATTTCTAGAATTTAAAGAAGATGAAACACCTCAGGTTGAAAGGGCTTCTACAGTTCCAATATGAAGAAACAACATCCAAACACATTATGATGAAGTTTAAGAATATCAAAGACAAAAAGAAAATTCAAAAACCTTCCAGAGAGAAAGAAAGAATTGATAAGGATGATAGACATAAGACCTCTGCTTCTAAATTAGATTTTCTCTGTTTTAAATACTATTTAAAATTATTTAGCCTAAGCAGTTTTACACATTCCTTTTCCTCCATTTAAATAACTTTTTGGCAAATATTTTATAAGATAAAACTTGATTCTGTTGAATGTTTCATCAGACAGAAATTCTGAAAAATTATAGACATTCTAATTTAATTCCATTGTGGTCAGTGATAGAAATTCATTCTATTAACAATAATGATACCGACAAAAATTCTTCCCAGAAGTCAATAAACTCAAATAGCCATTGTTGGTTTTGAAAATTAAATCTGTAACCTTTCATTCCCTCAATGTTTAATTTGTGCAACTCTTTCCCTGCTCCTATAGTAATAAATTTTAGTGTCCTGTCAGTTGTGATCTATTTTTAACAACTGTAATTGACTAAAAGCTTTGAAAGACAAAGTTTTGTATTAGTTGATACAGTGAATAACTTGATTAAAGATTTCCAAGTAATTTTAAACAAAAGACAACCAAAATTTAGTGAACTTATTTACCAAAAAAAAAACAAGTTTACTTTTTCGTGGGACACTAAGATTGTAAGAATTTTACAAAGTAGCTCTTCAAGCCCAGCATTTCTAAAATCGAACTGATGATGGGCCATAAAGAAAACATATACTATCTTGATGAAGTATTTCTCTTTTAAAAATCAACATTAGCTTCTTCACAAATATGAGATAATTCATTTACTCAGCTTATGTAAGAAATATTTGTAAACCTAACAACTCTTGATTTCTACTTCAATCACTAGAGAATCAAAGATGTTCAGACTGGTATCTATGAGTTTTGTGTGCATTACAACCAGTTTCAAATATGATTCAGCTTGATAGAACTTGAGGCAGAACTTTTTTACCATGATACTATACTCCACCAAAATTTATGTTAAAATACTTTTATCTTAATATTGAACTTTTAAAGTAAAATTTAAAATAATAATAAAAATAAAAACAGGAGTGGTAGCCTCACTCCTATGATCCCAGCACTTTGGAAGTCCAAAGCAGAAGGATCACTTGAGCCCAGGTGTTTGAGACCAGCCTGGGCCACACAGACCTTATCTCTACAAAAACATTTAAGAAGTGGCGGGGTGTGTCAGCGTGCACCTGTAGTCCCAGCTATTTGGAAAGCTAAGGCAGGAGAGTGACTTTTGACCAAGAGTTCTAGGCCGCAGTGAGTTATAATTATACCACTGTCCTCCAGCTTGGGTGACAGAGAGAGGCCGTTTCAAATAAATAAAAAATAAACATCAACTAAAGTAGTTTACAATAAAATTTACAGCAACGGCAGTTACATTGTCTCTAAAGAAGCACTCAAAGCTTTATTTTGATGTCATAAATTGGTTGAAAATATTAAGCTATTATTGCAAGTAACTTGACTGATTTTCTGTTAGAATCACCCCAATAACACTGGTTTTAAAAACCGGCATTCTTCAGTTGTTCGCCAAGTTGTTCTTTCAATGATAGGACCAACTTACTAACAGCTCTCTTTCACTTTTCAATCATTTGCAGGAGACCACAGAATCTAAAATGCGTAGAATAAATTTAGAGGCACAATCATTTGATCTAAATGAAAAGTCATGTAATGAAAATTTAACACACTTTCTGCTTCCGCTCCTATTGAATTGCATCCATGGGCATTTTTTAATAGTTGGCAATTTTTGAAGTATATATTATTGCTTATTTAGCAACTTTGTATCTTCTAGTTTTTATGTGATTAGTGACAACATGGCAGCACCCATAATGGATGGTAAAGATTTCATAACTAAGCTGCGCAAGTCACACATTGATTATCAACTTTTTTGGGAAATAGAAAATCAGTCCTTAATTTTAACTAAATGTGTACTTTCAATATTTTTAGCTCTTTGTTGTCGAAGGGGCTTACTAGTGAAAAATCATTACCAAACAATAAGAAGCGATAATAGGATTCTACCTTAAAATTATTGACAAAACCACTAAGCAAGTGTTTCCGGTTGGTTGCTGATAACCCTTGACGATGGAACTTCTCAGCCTCTATTTCCCAGGCATATGTCATGGACATCTTAATTATAATTTTTCTTATTTTCAGCCTATTTTAACTAACTCTACCAACTCATAATCTTCTGGCTTCAGTGTTTTTCACAGGGCATTGCACAGGCCACAGTACAACGTGCTGCTTCTACCACCCTGCAAGCATTTTGTTGATAAGAGCCCTGCTTGCTGTCTATAAAATGGAGGAATTAGCCAAGTGCATCTGGCAAGTGTGAGAAGCAACAGGGCATCATGGATCCTGTTTCCCATTTGGTCACAGGTTAAAGTGAAAATTCTGTTTACTGTACATACAGTTTACACACTGAAAGATGATACCAGTTGGAAAGACAAAGTGAGGGTCTATCTAATCCACCCAGTTTTATTTTAATATAACTATAAATTATAATACTTTATTTAAAAATAATAAATTCATAATGGGTGCTCAACAGGATGCCAGGGCAATAGTTTAAGACAGTGATTATAGGACATCTGTTAACTCTAAATTTAAAGCTTAGTATAATAAACATAATAATAAAGATACTGAAGAGACTTAAAGTTTCAACATGTTATTAAACAAGAAAAATATTTATATAGTCAATCCTTCCTGTTGCTGTCAGAAGATGAGATTATGACCAGGTCCCAGCCGTCCCCTAGTTAGATCTTATTTCAGGAAAAGTATCTAAAATAAACACAATCAGTCACTTAAAAACTACAAACTCAAAAACTGCAAATCTCACAGTTCCAAAGACTAATTTAAAAATAACTTCTGAAATGAAAGAACCTCTGTTTTAGGATAGCAGGTTGAGCACAGAAGTATCAACCATTTAGCAATTTTAGGTCATCCAAAATTAGACATGTCCCACATTGGCTGCATGTTTTGTTACAAATGGGACTGGAAATTTTTTGTGTAACTAGGAATTCATGCTGGGAAATCTGCAGTGCAAAGGTCGCTTCTGCCAGTTCTTCTCAAGGAAGTTAGAATCGTGGTTACCTGGCAGCTTCTGTGATCTAAAACTTCATAATCCTACACTTTAGGATTATGAAATAGACCTGTGCCATTATTACAATTATAAAATCTGTTTATTAACTGGTGGTACAAGAGAGTAAAGGTGAGCTTACTGACACAAGCATTTAATCAATTTTGAACGCAGACCATTCTGAGGTCATCATATTTGTTCTTGTATGGCTTTTTTTCCATGGACTTCAGAGAATGATACATATCCATAAGTTCCTGAAGTGCTTTGAAATTAAAGGTGGCCTTTTTTGGGAAAAGTCTGAAGAGAAGACAGTCATGCCACATAAAGCACAGACCATAATAGTTATTTTCCAGATCCATAAAAATTCTATTTCTTTCTAGGCAATCCTTGATAACTGCTTGGTTTTGCCAGCACATATACTAAAATTGGAACAATACAGAGGAGATTAGCATGGCCCCTACGTGAGGACGACACGCGAATTTGTGAAGCATTCCATATTTTTATGTACTAGTCCTTGATTTATGTAAACTGTCATGAACACATAGGGAAAAAAAGTGTTCCCTTTGAGTTAAGATGATATAGTTCCCAAGAGCTATGTCCTACCATCAGAAAAGAGGTAAACTTGGGTCAAACATGATGAGCTCTCCTCACGAAGTTCAGGGTCACTCAGAAGATTGTTTTCTTACTCAGAAGCCACACTCTTTTTAAAACTATCAGGTGTTTTGTTTATATGTTTTAAATATAGATCATATGTAGTGGTGTGTTACTCCAACAGTTTCATCCTGTGACTGATAGCTTCATTCTGTGAGCTCACAGTCAGATCTATGGAAAGAATGGGGGGATTCAATGTGTGGCCTCAGCCTTTGGTTTCCATACTTTGACACCAGCCAAATGCATGCATATGCTGTCAGAAATGAAGTTTGCATTTGCGGCCTGGATGCCTATTTCCTCTTCTTCCCTCTCCTCTTTCAGATATCTTATTGCTTTCTCCATAAAAATCTCTGAAGTCTCCTGCATTGAGGGTTTGTTTCTGCGCAGAGTGGAGACATACCACATTCTTCTGCTGACACACATGCAGGCCACACATTTGTGAGAAACTCCTCTATTCTTTATTCATGCTCGAGCACATCCTAAGAGACTCTGGATGCAAGAGGTTATTTCTCACTCCAGAAGAGATGGTGACCACCTGCAAGTTTGTTTCCAGTTCCCTTCCACAGCTTATAAGAGGAAGAACAGGCATTGGCTGCTCCTTTGCTATGTGTAATGAATTTTTCTATGGCTTTGGTAGGCAAAGGAAGGGCCTTACACAGAGTATTAGGCCCTTTGCGGCACAGCCAGACCCCTTGCACAAAGAACCAGAGAAGCAGTATCCCTCAAACATATAAGAAGGAAGGGATGTGACAAAATAAGAAGAAAAACAAACAGGTACTGAAAAAAATAAGTCTAATACAATTCACTTGGCTGGTGGAACAAAATTTTACCCTTTCTCTAAGCATCTAGACATGTGGTGGGCAATTGCATGGGGCTCTCAATATTTCTTCCCTCTGTCCAGAATAAATGTATCAGAGACGACGTTCCCTAGAAGAATGGAAGGGAGCATTCAGGATTTTGTGCAGTTCCTATTCTGCTGAGCCAGAAAAAAATAAAATTAAACTCACCAGAAAAAAAGACACACTTGCCTACCTCACATTTTTTCTTTTGTTGTACAGTATGAGGTGCTTTTAAATGAAAGTAAATTACAAACAAAGAGCATGACTTCTCCCCAACGTTCTCTTTGTGCACCCGACACATGAATGGACACTTATCCCATCTGACTTTTTCAAAATTCTGTATAATATCATAGAACATCAAGATCAGCTATAAATATCTCCATAGGCCTGGAATAAAATCATCCAGAGCTCCAAATGCCACTGGCTTCAAAAAAGCAAACTACCCAGCAATTTTCTCTGGAAGCCTGATATTAGTGCTCCCCCAGTTAATCCTGCAGAGAAAGTTGTGCGTTGCCAAAGTCGTGGGTGTCAAGCTTGAACAAGGTGGCCCTGGAGCATGGGAAGAAAAGACTGATTGTCCAGACCTGTGAGGGAGATTGACATGGGAAAGATCAGTCTTAAAGCAATAAGGTAGGATTCACAAAGGAACTGAACATGTAAATCACAGCCTTGAGTGTCAATTATCAAGATGACATTTTTGGACAGGGGTCATCATTCTGTGAGGCACTCTGCTAGCCTGGGAGACTTCTGAAGTCAAAAAAAGAAAGAAACTTCTGGCTGGGTGTAGTGGCTCATACCTGTACTCTCAGTATTTTGGGAAGCTGGGGCTAATCACTTGAGGTCAGAAGTTCAAAACCAGACAGGCCAACATGACAAAACCCCATTTCTACAAAAATGAACTGAGCACAGTGGCACATGCCTATAGTCCCAGCTACTTGGAAGGCTGAGGTGGGAAAATAGCTTAAATCCAGGAGGCAGAGGTTGTAGTGAGCCAAGATCACACCACTGCACCACTCCAGCCTGGGTGACAGAGCCAATCCCGACCTTGTCTCAAAAAAAAAAAAAAAAAAGAAGAAGAAAGAAAGAAAAAGAAACAAAGCAACTTCTATGAAGAACGAGGCATTTGACAAGCCTTCAACTTTCCCTTTTCCTTCAATTTTCATGACAATTTTATGAGGTTCCTAAGGAGGATTCTTAACAGATCTTCACATGAATAGACTTACTAAAATAACTGATGTTCTTCACTCTCTTTGTATGTGTTTGGATGTTCACTGCCAGCAGGGAGGCTGTTTTCCTGAATGTTCACCAGTTTTTGCTCTCTCCATTTGAGGTCTTTGCTTACCAAACACTAGTTGCATTTGCTCACAAACCAGTTGCAATTACAATTAGATAACTTAATAGAATAGTAATGAATGCATCAATGAAATAGAGTAAAAAATAAAGAAAGATGTTTCTATAAAAACTAAATTGAATAATCTGAAAGGACTCAGTTTAAAGGCATGTCATTAAAATTAAAAAACAAACTGTAGTCAAATTACTCATGATCCAGACAAGTATAAGAGAAGAGGTGTGGGATAATGGAAGTGGGAAAAAGGTCTAGGAGGATTCTGTGCTTAAACTTACTTCAGTCCGTTTAAAAACAAGAAGGAAAATAAGAAATCTTTGGCAATTCATCATGGATATTGGTTTGGAAACATAAAAAAGGAAGGATTCTAACCAGTGGACTGTATTTCAAGAAAAGTCCTAGTCTTCTATGAAAATATTGAGTAATAAATACATTTTATGTGCTCAAGAAAGGATTTCAAGTATAATATATACTATTACTTGTTCCCAATAGACCTGGTTTTTTGATTGACTAACCAACTGGTGGCCCTGATTGTGTCAGACATGACGGTTTCCACTGAATTCTAAGCTCCATTTTATATATGAGGAAAACGAGAATCAAAAAGGGTATGTGATTTCTCCAAAAGCTATAGCTAGGTAATGGCAGAGCTAAAAATTGACTTTTTGCTCTATCTAAAGTGGATTTCCTTATAAGTCTATGTTTACACTTATTAAGTTCCTTATATTCTTTACTTTTCATCTCATTCTTCACTTCAGTCCTCCTCTGAACCAGCTGAGAGCTGCACAGGCTTCGTAGACAGTGGGCGAGGTCAGAGAGGCTTCTGTTGAGTGCCTTGGGAAATATCAGCACTCAGCGCTTCAGCTGATGCTCTGCCTGTGTTCTGTCCTAGAGTCTACCCTTCTGCCCAGCCTATCCAGGCTAACTTCTTTGGATGGTTTACTTAGCTCTTATTGGACTTCCATCAACTCCTGCTCTGTGGCTGAAACACTTAATTATGCCTCCCTCCCTTCCAATCTGGCCTGGCATTCAGGAACCTCTTCCTGAATCTGGTGTACCTGTCATTTTGTCTCCTCTAGATGGTTTCTTGCAAACATACACTCTGGTTTCATGAGGGTCATGTTTTCCTGTGGCTTGATGAGAAACCAAAGTAGACACGTTCTCATTTTCTTTTAATCTCAACATTATGCTTTTAATGTGGTTTTCAAGATAATGTTTCCAACGCTAAATATTCTATTAGCCTCTGTATTAATTTTGTATGTGACTAGACCCTTGGGAGAGCTTTCCAAACCCCATGTATTGACAACGTGATCAGCTGCTTCTAAAACCTTGTCTTCACTCTCTTCTTGACCTCTTTGGCATTTTTCAATTTCCATTTGAGTTCCGGCAAAATTCTTCCTTTGGGATCATAGACCAGTGATCACAACACTGGACCAATTCTTACGCTTGCTGTAGCTCACATAGATTAAGTAGATGTATGTCTATTCCCATGCCAAGTTTCCTAGCTATGGAAAAGGAAAACCTATGTTCTCAGGAATATTTCCTTACTTTCATTGAGTGTATGCTAACATTTATTGAACCCATACCATGCCTAGTCCTCTACAAAATCCTTTCCATGTATTATCTTATTTATTCTTAAATTAACCTTAAGAAAGATTTACTGCCATTATTATTTTGATATACATTCCATTGATAACTAGTTTATTGAGAGTTTTTAGCATAAAGGGCTGTTGAATTTTGGCAAAGGACTTCTCTGCATCTATTGAGATAAACATGTGGATTTGTCTTTGGTTCTGTTTATGTGGTGGATTACGTGTATAGACTTGTGTATGTTAAACCAGTTTCACATCCCAAAGGTGAAGTCTACTTGATCGTGATGGATAAGCTTTTTAATGTGCTGTTGCATTCAGTTTGCAAGTACTTTATTGAAGATTTTTGCATCGATGTTTGTCATGGATATTGGCCTGAAATTTTCTTTCTTAGTAGTGGCTCTGCCAGGTTTTGGTATTAGGATGATGTTGGTCTCATAAAATGAGTTATGGAGTGTTCCCTCTTTTTATATTGTTTGGATAATTTCAGAAAAATGGTGCCAACTCCTCTTTGTATATCTGGCAGAATTCAGCCGTGAACCCATCTGGACCTGGACTTTTTTTGGTTGGTAGGCTTTTAATTGCTGCCTCAACTTCAGCCCTTGTTATTGGTCTATTCAGGGATTCAGCTTCTCCCTGGTTTAGTCTTAGGAAGGTGTAAGTGTCCAGGAATTTATCCATCTCTTCTAGATTTACTGCTTTATGTGCATAGAGTTACTTGTAGTAATCTCTGATGGTAGTTTGTATTTCTGTGGAACAGGTGGTGATATCCCCTTTATCATTTTTTATTGCATCTATTCGATACTTATCTCTTTTCTTTTTTATTACTCTGGCTAGTGGTCTATTTTGTTGATCTTTTCAAAAGACTAGCTCCTCAATTCATTGCTTTTTTTGAAGGGATTTTGTGTCTCTGTCTCCTTCAGTTCTGCTCTGATCTTAGTTATTTCTTGTCTTCTGCTAGCTTTTGAGTTTTTTTGATCTTGCTCCTCTAGTTTTGTTAACTGTGATGATAAGGTGTCAGTTTCAGATCTTTCCTCGATTCTCATGTGGGCATTTATTGCTATAAATTTCCTGCTAGACA